AAAGCACCGCGGCGAGCCCGGGACTCTGCCAGAGCCGGGGAGAGGAGCTGGCTGCTGGCTCTCCTCTCGGGTGCCGAAATAGCTCAAGAAATCCTACTGAGAGTTTCCTATGCGCACCCATCGCTAATGCCGAGGCAGAGGGGTTGGACCAGCCTGTGTCCATGTTCACCCCTTCCTCTGGAAATAAAAATCAGCCAAATTTTTAAGTATTCCACAGACCGCGTGCGGCACGGAAACCCTAGTGCAGTGGGAGTATTACAGGGAGTTGTGAAGGGTGGAGATACACGAATCTACACTTACTTTTTTATTCAGTCAGGTTCAGTTCATCTACAAGGAGATCAGCGATGTTTCAAGAGAAATGTTGTCTTGCTTTGAAATAGTATGGATCTTAAAGCGTTAAATAGCGGGGCCTTTCGGAAAAAATTATATAATTGGAGTCTCAGGCAGCGCGAAGACAAATTGAAAGACAAAGTAAGAGTCTGAAACTTAACTTTGTAATATTTATTTAAACATCGAAGGAAACACCGTTCACAGGGCTTTCAGCATGACCTCTAATTCCCTATACCCGCCTCATTTTTCGTTGCATGCAAGCGTGACAAGTCCCTCCAACAAACGTTTATATAAAGTCATTTCAAAGAATTGTCAGAATACGTATGAGTCCGCTTTCCAGCCCAGCCTGGCACGTTTTAAACCTCGACGGGAGCGGTCAAAATATTTGGAGGGGTTTGAGGTTAATTACAGCTGTTTGAAGCTTTTCCAATATGTTGCACAAGTTAGAAGCGAACTACGCCCGAAGCGTGCTTTCTAGTGTGATACCGCCCGAAACAACACCTTCCGCTGTCACCCTGTGCTCGCGGGCTGCAAAATTTTTACTTCACCGAAGAACACACCAGCAGCAAACCAAACAACAACAAAGACAAAATGCTGATTACACCATAGCTCGTCGCAAGTGGGATTTATTCCCCGTCGACTTTGTTCAACAGATGATTTTGTCAAAAAAAGAAATCCGTACAAAACGAGTGACGCCTTAAACTGCTAAATCACAGCAGTGCTCCGATCCACTCAGACAAAAACCCCACCACGACACCGTGCTGTTTCCAGAGTACCACCAGTGCCGTTTTCAGCCGGCTCGTTTGGCTCCCGCCACCGCCCCCCGCCCCGCTGACGCCCCCCGGCCCCGCACGGAGCCCCCTCCCTCCGCAGCGCAGCGGCTCGGGGCTGGCGGCACCGGCTGGGGCTGCGCCTCCGAGTCCAGCCTGGAGCCCTGCGCTGGAGGTGTCCGCTCCCGCTGTACCGATTACCGGCTTTACCCCCGCGGTCCGCTCTTCGGGGCAACACCAACGGCTGCCAAGCCGGGGGAGCTACGGCGGCAGCATCCCTCCTCGCCGGGCCCCTCAGTATGGGACGTGATGACCAGACACGTCCCTACCTCAAGCCCGCCGACCCTCCCCTACGCTCCGCACGCCCCCTGGGCAGTTTGCTCCGAGCTACACCGGCCGAGCTGCCCACCTCCTCCGGCACCGGGGTTCTCCCAGCGCCGCTCCGAGCGGACTCCAGGCTCGGTTTGCCTCTCCTCCCTCAGCGCGCCCCGGCCAGGAGAACCGTCCGGCTTCCCCGGACGGAGCTGGAGCGGGGCGCAGGGGGAGGAGGAGGAAGAGCAGGGACAGGGCAGCGCGCCCCGTCTCCCCCCGGCCCCGCAGCGGCAGGGTGAAGCGGGCTGGGCAGCTCTGTGCCCGCGGTGCCTTCAGGGAGCTGCCAGCCCTGTCCGTGCAGGTGCGGCTGTCCGCGCCTCTGGGGAAGGAAGGAAAGAAGGAAGGAAGGAAGGGAGGAAGGAAAGATGGAAGGGGAAGGGGAGGGAAGGGACGGAAAGGGAAGCCAGTGATTGACAGCTCCAGTGAGCCTCGCTCCACTCACACACCCTCCGCCAAAGTTTTCTTTCACACGGAGGGAACTTTGCTGTTGCCATGAAACTTAGGGGTTTTGCAAGCGCCATCCCCTCCCCCCAACTCTCTTTGGGGCAGCCGAGTGGAAAAACTCAAGTGGCAATGGGGTGGGCGTAGGTGGGGGTGGCCGGAGCGCC